AACAACAACAACAACAACAACAACAACAACAACAACAACAACAATCATCATCATTCCAAGACTGTTCGCTCCTACCGGCCCGCGTGTCATTCATCATGCATATCCCAAACCCTGGATACCCGCCCTCTTCGTCTTCGATTTTATCCCCTTTTGGCGGGTTATATTCCTTCCTGGCCACGTGTAATTGGAGAAGCCCCTAAACAGGGAAACGATTTCTGGATTAATTGCGAAAAAATCATACGCGAGAGCGCAATTCCTGAAAAGGGGATGTCTGGCGAGAGCGGGGGACTAGACTAAAGCGCAAGGAAATCTTAAGTGGGAGCGCCGCTCTTGAGTAAATTGTGAAGAAGCCTCAGACGGGAGGGGGGTCCTGACTAAATTGCGAGGAAGTCACAGGCAGGAGCGCCGATCCTGAGTAAATTGAAAGGAAATCTCAGGCGGGAGCGGGGCTCCTGAGTAAAGTTGGAGGAAGTATCAGGCGGGAGCCGTTGTTGTGTAGTCCGGGGGAACGACAATGCAGTTTGATCCGGACTAAATTGTGAAGAAGTCTCAAGCGGGAGCGCCGCTCCTGAGTATATTGGGAGGAAGTTTCAGACGGGAGGGTGGGGGTCCTGAGTACATTTGGAGGAAGTCTCAGGCGGGAGCCGTTGTTGTTGTAGTCCAGGGGGCCAGGGGCACACTTTGACCATCAAGACTTCCCTGTCGAAAAACAGGGTGCGAGCGTCGAGGGGCACACTTTGACTTAGAAAAAACCATATGCACCGGTGAGGGGGGATCAACAATAACTATTCTTCAGAAATGAGAATTCAACAACAACAAAAAAGTGCGCAATGCGTCCTCGATTGGCCCCCCACTCCACGCCAGGCTACAGGGCGAGCACCCCTGGCCCGCCACGCTGGCCTCAGCGCAACGAGCGCCCGCGGCAGCGGGGCTCAGTGCGCCATGGAATTCCTCAACCCAGTCAGGCGCAGACTGCAGAATCAGCTGCGCGGGAGCCCCGCCAGTGATTGCCACATGTTGGGGGGGGGGGGGGGGAATTGCTGGCGGCCAACTGCCGCAGCCTTGGTATCACGCCGCTCCTCGCCACGAGAGCAAGGCTCCCGCCAGCAGTGTGGCAGCGACGCTTCCGCACGGGCGGCGCCTTGCTGCCCCACGCCTCCCTGGCGCCGACCACGGGGCCCAAGAGGTCAAGGAAGTGCCCCCAGGACAATCAGCAGTCCCCGCGACCCAGCCACTCCCCCCAGATGGTTCAAAAACACACGCTGGAGACAACAGCAAAAAACAGCGCCCCCGTCGTTACCAAACTCGGCGTGGGGCGTGCACGGCAAGGGTGGCGCAGCGAAGAGAAGCGACGCGGCAGAGCGCCCGCAGGTCGCACGGCTGTCGTGCCGCCATGATGCACGGCAAGCTCTGAGACCTCGGCGTCAGACTTGAGGACCTCGGCATCAGACCTGCTGGCGCGATCACAGATCGCCGCCATGCTTCATGAGCCAATGCAGTTTCCCGTCTGGCACAAAGGAAATCACACGCAGCCGAAATGCCGATCCGGGGGCTGGCGCGATCACAGATCGCCGCCATGCTTCATGAGCCAATGCAGTTTCCCGTCTGGCCCAAAAGGAATTACACGCAGCCGAAATGCCAATCTGGGGGCTGGCGCGATCACAGATCGCCGCCATGCTTCATGAGTCGATGCAGTTTCCCGTCTGGTCCAAAGGAAATTACACGCAGCCGAAATGCCAAATTGGCTGGGGGTGGGGCAGCAAGCAGGGGGGGAGCGTTTTCTCTCTTGTAAAATAGCGGGCAAGGGTGTGATTTGCCGCGGATTCGGGGGTATATCTTGTGACGCACGCTACAAAGAATAGCTGTACTCTCCTCTCTCCCCTGACTCTGTCCGGGGAGTGTCCCGTCCTCTCCGCGTATCGCTTTTGACACACAAGATTTCATGAAGTGTTTCTTTTCCTATGTGCTTTTTCAAATGGTGCTCCCGCTGCAGCGCCGCCCTCATTTCCGCGCTTCGGCCATTCAAAATCATGCTCCCGCTGCAGCGCTGGCCTCGTTCCCACGTTTCCAGACGGCACTTGGCACTCGAAAGCTCCCACATCGGGCAGGCACGGTTGCGGAGGACATGGAGCCGACATTCCAGGCCTGTCCTCTCGTAGACGGGCCACTTACTCTCCAAATCATCCGGTGCCATACCACGGCATGCAATTCGATGCTGTGTTGTGCACCGCTGTGATGCCATGCTTTGTGTTGCTATGCTTTGTGATGCAATGTTTCACTACGCAATGCCACGCCATGCTATGACATGTTATGCTCTGCCGTGATCATCTACGCCATGCTCTTCCATCCATCGCGATCCCACTTGGGATCCTTGTCCTGCTCGACATCCGACTGTGCAAACAGATAGGAGATCTACGCCATGGAAAGGGATGGGAGGGAGGGGTACGACGTCAGATGTGACGATAGCGCTCCTAGCTCGCCCTCAACCCCCTCCACCTCTCCCTCTCCTCCCCGTCCTCCCTCCCCGTTCCTCCCCCTGCCTCCCTCTGCCCCACTTTTCGCCCACCATTCCCCGTCGGCCAGATACATCCCCCTCGTCTGCTTCCCTCCCCTGTCCCTCTCTCCCTCGAGGACCTGCCGTCGTTCACTCTCTGCCTCTCCCTCTGGTCGTCCCTCCGCCCACGCAGACAGAAGGCAGGCTTTGCGGGACCGACGAAGGCAAAACTGTACGCGTGCCCGCGTGACGCCCACGTTCCGCGATGCGCCCGAGCAGGAGAGGGCGCATTCCTACCTCGCCGGCCGCCCAGCCCTCATCGCTTCCTCGACCTCCCTGTCGCACTCCTCCTGCTCCTCCTCGCCGCTCTCCTCACACTCCTCACCATAATCATCGCCATCGTCATCATCAGCAGCAGCAACAGCAGCAGCAGCATCAGCAGCAGCAGCATCAGCATCCGCGTCATCACCATGCGCATCATCACCATCACCATCATCATTGCCATCGTCATCACCAGCAGCACTAATAAAAACAGCACCAACAACAGCAACAATAATATGTTTGAGACTGTTCGCATGTATCTACTCGCGTGCCACTCAACACGTACATCCCGAACCATCGATGCCTGCCCGCTTTGCCTTCGATCGTACCCCCTTGGGGGGATATCTTCCTTAAACTGAGGAAGAAAAGACGGATGGAAGATGGAGGGAACAGGATGAAACACGAGACAGATTAGCAGAGGGGCTAGAAGCAGAAAATACGTGGCACAATCAGACGGGCTTATCGGGAGGGTAGACCCTAATGGAAGGATCGGTTGCTGAAGCGTGAGTCCTGATGAATCGCGAGGACGTCTCAAGCGATAGCGCGATTTCTAAGTACATCGTGAGAAAATCCAGGTCGAGAGCAAAATTCCTGAGCGTCGAGGGCGCGGCGTCTGCGAGCGCGATTCCTGCATAAAGTATGAGGAAGTCACGCGCGAGAGCGCGATGTTGAACTGAGGTGTCACGCGTGATGGTGACAATTAATCTCTGCTCCCACAAATCTGTGTCGGATGCATGCCTTGTCCAAGTCTCCACCCAAAGCCTCGATTGAAAACGGGATGGTAGATCTCTCGAAGAGTTCGCTCAACGTGAACAATACTGTCCAAAAAAGCTATCTCGAAGACGGCTTCCGCTGCCACGAAAACGGGTCTTGGATTAAAGCGGTCAGGCCGACTCTTTGTATACGAGCCCCAAACCTAACGATTCCAAATCCGTTTCCATTACGTGCGGCTCGATGTCGCCTCCCGTTTTCAACGTCTTGTTTTTGTCATGACGTCTGTCTCCGCTACGATTGGAACGATCAACGAGACCTGATTGTCAACCATGTCGCGCGCCAGGGAGAACAAACCGTGGGGCGACGCTCTAAGGCTCAAAAATTGCCAAAACGTCAACGCGGCTCACAAAATCGAGCGCCGTCAAAACATCTTGCGCAGCCGCAGATAAACTGCAACCTGCCCAGGTCTTCGAATATTTCAGCGTTTCGAACAGCACTGCAAACGCATCGTCGACCGAGGTCTGCTTCTTGTACCCGAAGCTGTGGACGCGCCGCGTCTTCCTCAAGAGAGGCTTGAGGGCGTTGTAGAAAGATACCGACTAAACCTTGAAAAGATGATCAATGAGTCCTAACCACCGGTATTGTCCAAAACTGCTCGGGCTTTTCACTTTGGGAGTGCCCTGGAGGACAAAGTTTTTCCATGTCTCGACGTCAGTAGTGGTTTCCCACATAATGTCCTTCCAATATTTCAAAACAATGCGGCGCGCACGTCTCAGACTTCCCAAGCCCAACATCCGCATCCTGGGAAAGCCGGGATAGCAGCTCAGAGAAATCTGCGAACAATGGTTTGCCCCGGAAAAAAGAACGCCCAAAGCGTCATTTCATGCTTGCCATCGCAACCGCCAACATGCTCCCAAAGGATCAGCCGCCTGTTTCGCCTTTGTGGAATTACAGCTCGGTGAAAAAGGTCAATCCCCGCGGTCAGACGACGCCCCGCCGTTCCCCTCCAAACTGAGCGGGGCTGGCGCGTCATGAGAACGAGAGCCTGTCGCCAATACTCTGAGGTGTCTGGCTGGCGTTACCGCTGATTGAATTGATGACAAGCTGGGTAGTACGGTCGCCAATCTGGTCGCCGCATCGTTTCCGAAGTACCTCCTCAACCAAGATAGCGCCAGACTCAAACATTCGAAACACCGCCGACTCGCATCGCAAGCTTCCGGAAACAATCGACGACTTGACGGCACCGGTGCAACCTTGGATATTCCCACAAAATTGGTAGCATTCTGCCAATAGCGATAACTTGCTCATGTCCATCTCGCGCTGCAGCTGAACAAAAACAGACCGCTGCCGTCGTTGCGAATAAGCCCCCACTGAAATGTCCAAATAAACATTGTGACAGCTGGGAGATGGCCTAATTCCCAACACTTCCCAAATGGAGGGAACATAAGCACAGTCAATTGGCGATGTTGATATGCTGCTCCTCTTCCGTCCCACTCTGGTCCAAAGGGTGGCTTTGTCCCCAAGGCAGGAACGTGTTGCTGAGCCAGAGGTCGTCCGCAAGCACGAACCGTGTATATATATATATATATATATTTACACACACATACAGATTGAAAGAAGAAACTTGCGTGCATTGCATACTACGGGCGTGGGAGGGCAGAGCTCTAGCCAGATGCTGTCCAACAAGCCCGTCTCTGGAAGAATTCAAAGACACATCAGCGTCAACCCCGAGAATCAAGATTGTTCCCCCTATTCCTCGCACACCTTTATCCTTGCAATTTCGAGTGCAGCTGACAGCTCATCCAAACTGTCACTGTCCGCGCCGCGCGCCACATGGTCCAGCACG